CTATACCGTCTACATATCAGTCTCGTGTCTTGCCGTCTCGTGTACGTGATCGTAAAATTGTATTTTTATTTTTGTTGCAAATTTCATTACATTTTTAATTTAATTTAATTTCATAACAAATATGCCTAAGCAAATAACGAGTGTTTTAGTTAAAAAATATATTACTGAATTCGGGTCAGATGTTTTTTCAGCAGACCAAAATGTACTGTTTTGTAATTTTTGTGAAACGAAAGTGAGCGTGGATAAAAGGTTTATTGTCACCCAACATCTGAAGACGGAAAAACATAAGCGGGCAGCTAAGCGTGTTGAAAATCATCCAAGTACAAGTAAAATACTTACACAACAATTTATAACGAACGCTACAAAAAAGTCTGTATTTAGTCACGATCTATGTAAGGCTTTGTTGTCAGCAAACATACCTTTGAATAAATTATCAAATCCGTATTTTAAAGAATTTTTATCAAAGTACACTGGTAAAGATATTCCTTCTGAATCAACGTTACGAAAAGGTTATGTTAATGAAATTTATGAAAATACAATTCAAAAAATAAGGAATTATGTTCAAAATAAATGCATTTGGGTGTCAATAGATGAAACTACCGATTGTACAGGTAGATATGTAGCAAATGTTGTTATTGGAATTTTAAATGACACTGAGAGTAGTAATATTTTTCTTTTACATTCTGAGGAGCTCGAAAAATGTAATCATTCCACAATTTGTAGATTATTTGATAAATCTATGAATTTACTTTGGCCAAAAAGTGTTCAGCACGATAAAGTATTATTGTTTATTAGTGACGCTGCCCCCTATATGGTTAAAGCTGGAGAAGCCATTAAATTATTTTATTCAAAAGTTATACACATTACTTGTTTGGCCCATGCATTTCATAGGATCGCAGAAACTGTACGAACAGGATATCCAAAAGTTGACAAACTAATTGCAAATGTGAAAAAGGTTTTCCGTAAAGCACCTTCTCGCATTCAATATTTTAAGTCAATAGCCCCATCTCTATCACTACCACCTGAAAATATTTTGACAAGATGGGGTACTTGGATAAAGGCAGCGAATTACTACTGTGAAAATTTTGAGCAAATAAAAGTAATCATTAATACTTTTGATGACAATGATGCAGTATCAATAAGAAATTCAAAAAAGTATCTCTCTGATCAAAATATTGAAGCTCAACTTGTATTTATTAAATCAAATTTCGGATTTTTACCCGATTTAATTACAAAACTTGAAAAACAAGGAATTTCACTTGCAGATTCTATTTATATTGTCGAAGGAGCAAAAAAAAAATTAATTCAAATTAATGGAGAAATAGGGGAAAAAATTAAAATTAAGATAGATTCTGTTTTATCAAAAAATAAAGGCTATCAAGCAGTTTTAAAAATATCAAAGATACTAAATGGAGAAGAAAACATAGATGGAATACCCGAAGATTTTAGTTTAAATGATCTCACGTATATGAAAAACTGCCCAATAACATCAGTCGACGTTGAACGTTCGTTTTCAGCGTACAAAAATTTACTCACTTCCAATCGACAATCGTTCAAATTCGAAAACATTAAAAAATCTTTAATTGTTCAATGCAATTTCCAAGGTAAAATAATATACAAAATAAATAGTAAAAATAGGTACCTAAAGTAAATTGTTTTTATTTTTTCAGAGCCATTAAAAGAAAACTCTGAAGAAAACTGAAACTTAAACAGAAATACACATTTTTACTATTTATATAATTTATTGTACTTATATTATTAATTTTTATAAATTATTTATCAAATTGCTTTTAAAATAAAAGAAATAACTTAATTAATAATTATTAATTACATATTTCAATGCATATTTTAGTGCATATAACTTTTTTGTGCATATTTTCGTGCATTTTTGATTATATTTTAATGCATTTTTACATGCATATTTATATGATTTTCAATTCAATAACTTGCCCTAGTGATAAGTAAATCCAAAGACTGGAAATTAAAAGACTAAAATGTTAATTTAATTTTAATTTTTATTTATTCATATTTATTCATGATTAATATTTTATGACAAGGTGTTATTTTTATTTTGTTTTTTTATATTTATTGATACAGTTGGTAAATGTTGTTGGATTTTAATAAAAAAAAAAAAGTTTAATGGCAAAAGTTGTGTACAATTTTTTAAAAATATCAATAATCGTTTCTATTCAAAAACCTGTTGATATAATAAAAAATATATATAAAAAAGTCATAAATATTTCTATTGTCACCAACTATCGGGTCAATAGAAACAGAGCACTTAAAACAATATATACAATTATTTATTGAAACTAAAATATTTTTGAATCGACAGGTTTAAAGTACTCGACAAGACCAGTATTTTGATGTACTAATCAACTTTGTAGCTCAAATAGATAAGTTTTTATGATACTTCAAAGTTCAAAAGTGTTTCTATTCACCCGCTTTTACGGTACTCGACTTTTTGTAATACTCGGGTATTGTCTAGTACTCGACTTTTTTTTGAGTACTCGAATTTTGAACTCGACTCGACTCGATGTAATTGAAACTCGACTCGACTCAACTCGACTTCAAAAAACCAATACTCGCCCAACACTAACCAAGATGAATGATAATAATATTATTATTATGTATATAAAATTATAAATTAATTTTTATTGTTCAAAATATTTATAATAAAGGAAAATTGTAAGAACATTTTTAGTAAAAGATTAAAATATAAACAATTTAGTGTTGGTTTCAATATTCTATGTTTATTATATAATGAGTAATGTTGAAAAAACAACGAGGTGAGCGCGACGCTCGCTTAATACCAATAGAGGGACGCTGCATAGCGATACCAACGACGGGTTAATAATTATAAAATATATTTTCACAAAAGCATTCATGTTTTGGCACATCGAAGTTTAAAATAATTTTTTTAATTAATCTATAATTACCGAGTAGCCAGTAGAAGAAAACAACGGATCAGGCGCGTACACGACGAAAACGTGTTTCTATCCGCCCCGGTGACCTTGACGAACGCCATTTTCTAGGACCGCAACAAAAGCAATAATGCGTGCGTCGTACGATGGTGTACCTGCGGAAAACATGCAATACGATTAGCGCTATTCGACGTTTCGAAGAGCAAAGGAAAACGTCAAATATCAGGAACTAGATGACAAAGTTAAAATTACCAAGCACGTGTACGGCAACGCCGCCATTCCGAACGGCACAGCAACACGAACGATCGCCCGTTGCAACGCACTGGCGAGCACACGGTCCGTTGGGGAAATGAGACCGGAGAACGAACGACCCAGTATTGTACGCTGCTGAGCGCGTTGGCACAACCAGTATTCGGTGGGGGTAGAGCACAGCACGTCTCCGATCCCACTACTACCGCTCGTCCGAGTATTCCTGAACGGCCATCGTAGAACAATAATATCTAGTACACCCCGCGCTCACGCATTTCACGCGTACGCCGCGCACCGAATAACGTGCGTCGAACCATAGAATAAGTAAAAGATTCGGTGTTCTGGTCGTAACCTGCCGGTCTGTATAACAGTGAAGCCATCACTACTGCCAACTGCGATCTGAAATACTAAACCGGTTTTAGTAAGATAAATACTCACATATTACATTCGTCACACGTTCTGTTATCGTCCAAATACGCAGTAGCGGCTCGTGGCTCGGACGACTACCAAGAATAATTGTATACGTTATTGAATACTAACTTTTATTTAACTGCATTTTTCGAAGAACTATAATTTATATATATTATTAACAATAATTAGAAACATATTGTCGTGTGAACATTAAATTCGTTTCTTCAGATACCAGGAGTGTATGTACAGTGTGTTACCATATGAACACGAGCACTAGTGGTGGGGGTCGTTACCGCTGTATTCGGTGCAATCATTGATTATAGAATAGAATCTATTATATAATCCATGGTACAATGTAACAATTCGTAGTACACAAACCGATTAGCCACATGGTGGGGATTTGCTTACACTTTAGGCCTCTTTCACACGAAGCCACCAGAGCAGCGCCACCACAAATTATTAATGACTAAATTAAGGTTTTCACATTTGGTCTCGCCACTCTTATCAGTTCATGCCACCAAATATGCTAAACGCGCGACCAAAATAGTCGCGCCACCAGTTAAATTTATATTGTTTTGATGTAAAAACGCGCATTCTATTCATTCGATCGACTGCCACCGATACGTTTGTACGTTATTTTTGACGTTGTCAATATTTTCGCCATGGATACCAATTTTGACTCAGAAAAATTTCGACCAATTTTTCGACAGGTGAAATACATCCCCTCATATTTGTTTGTTGACCGTTAAATCTTGCTGCAGAAGTTCCAGTAATTCATCAAAGGACTTAATTGACATTCTTAAATAATTAAAAAATTTATCTTCATACTTCCTCAAATCGTTATAGAATAAATTAAATAATCCTTTAGTAGAACGGTCAGATAGTAGTGGGTGCACCCAAAACTTCCTTTTTTTTTTCGTTTACGTAAAACTTTACTGCACAGGTATGCCACACATGCTAGCTCTTCGACTTCCATTTTGATACTGTACTAAATTTTAATTTCATTTCATGACGTGATAAACACATCTGGAAGCATAAAGAGTGGCGATACTTTTCTGGTGGCGCGACCATGGTGGCGCTGCTCTGGTGGCTTCGTGTGAAAGAGGCCTTATAGACTGCGACGAAAAGACGCGTCGTGAATTGGTAGACGAATATAAATAATTCTTAAAACATTCTTAACAGAAATTGACAAAGTTATCGTTAATCGATACAGTTACAAGAAAGTACCGATTCCAAAATATTCGTTTCATCGGTATAATTTTTTTTTTTTAAGTGAATTTTGTTTTATTATAATTCATGTCACTAAATAAAAATATTTGAAAACTTATTTGATTTTAAATACAGATACTCTAAAAAAGTATTTCTTACAAATACTCTTATTAAAAGTATTTGAATACTTTTACTCAAATACTTTACATGATTGTTGATATATATATATATATATATAAATATCGCGAAGCTGTTTTTTAAATTTTCAAATCAAATGGAGAGCGCGAACGCACACCGATGCATGTTATTATGTGTGTAAATGCGCTCGGCGTCCCACGTGCCAATACACATAGTTATGTGCATCGGTGAGCATTTACGTTTTTCATCTGAACCTCAACATTACTTTATGACTGCTGAATCGACTTAAAATTAATATTACATTTTAAAATGTTCTTTTCAATAAAAATTTTCATCACATACAACATACAATGAAACAAGTGTACTTTACATTGATTTTTCTATTTCACAGATTTCACCATGCTAAAAAAAAATAACAATTCCAAAGAATCAACAACAAAATCCGGAACTACAATACATGCAATTTTCACACGGTATTTAGAACATATCGAATCACGTACATATATTTCATATTTTAGTTACCACCAACCAATCGTATCAACATTAGCAATTGAACCACCAACCGATGATAGTGTGAATAATTAATAATAAACAGAATATTGTTTACACAAATTTTATATTGTTATATTTCTTTTGAAATAATCCCTCTCTATTTCTCTCTCTCTCGCATACAAACACAAGTTTGTAATAAGTTTCACTTCTATCACGTGTACGATGCTGCACATGTTTTTTTTTAGTTACACTTGTACTCGGATTCGTTTAGTTTCGCACGGAACGATTAAATATTCAAATGTACTCGACTTCTCGTTCATAATGGATATTTAGGAACGAATACGCTTCGTACGCACATTACTACAGAAGTGTATAAACCGAACAGCTACATAGTGGAGGATTTGTTTACACTGTATACTTGTAATACAAGTGTAATGATTTAAAATTATAGTTCTATATTAATTTATGTGAGAAGTACTTATATGTTTTTTTTTTTAAATCATTACATATTATATTATAAATATTTAATATTACCTCTCCGGTGATTGTGTCGACCTGTCTATTGAAAACCGTGGTTGACGTTTGAGGAATGAGATAAGGTAATCAATTCGTACTATAAAATATTAATAACTTTTTCTTTTACTCATGTTTAATGATTTTATTTAAACTTCTTTCTACACATATTAATACACGTATCTTAATTTTTTACAGAACGTTTTACAACTAGTTATGTCTTTCTGCATTGACGATCTGCGTAGTCTTTTACACTCACCGTTTACTGTCTATGCAAAAGGAAAACAGGAACGTGTCTGTCCTTAACTAAAAAATTATACTCCTTATATATATGATGTGTGTGTGTGTGTGTGTGTGTGCGCGTGTATATGTGTACGTGCGTGTGTAATATTTTATCTTTAATACTTACGACTTATTATTATATTTAATGGCTATCGATTATTAGAACGAACACCTAAAATAATTATAGGGATAAAAATTATCAATTAAATAATAGTATTCAATTTATTTATGTATTCGTATGTTAATTGTATTAATTAATTAATATTTATAAATATTAACATTTCCGTGTTTTTTGTTGATAATCTATAACGTCTTTCGGAAATGGTGTAGCCAGCTTTTGAAAAGATCCTTTCCGGAATACACTTGTGCACTTGATCGTTCCGAATATAATTGTAACTAAGAAAAATTATACCGAAGTGTAGTAAACCCAAATATAGGAAGATTTATTTATTTTTTTTTTTGAATATAATATAAAATAACAAATTATACAACAGCATAATTTATGATGTGTAACGTAGGTAGCAATATTTAAATGACGGTGAACATAAAAAGCCTAATTAACAGGAAATATAGATCAATGGAAAAAAAACACGTTATTCTCACCTTTACAACATATTAAATGCAAGCCAGCAATAATGGAAAGCAATAATTAGAATACTTAATATCGCGCCACCATAAGTCCTCGGGAGAACCCGCACAAATACGAGTAGAGCACCTACGAAGGCTACAACTTGTTTGCGCAAAAATGTACAACTCGATTGTGCACATATATTTTGGCACCTGTGACGAAAATCCCTATTGACAGAACTCGTATGCTTATTAACGTTGATTATTATACTCCTCATGATTATGAGAGTTCATTACTTTTATTATTTTGTTTGATTTATTAACAATAACACTCGCAGGAAATTTTTTATTAGTGCATCTAAAATTTGAACATCCACTCATTAAAACACGGTATTCACTAAATTTATAAGTATCAATATTAAAACATCGTTTTCCTCACCGAGATTCAAAAATATTAGAAATTTCTACGCCATATTAAAGTTTACGTCGTCAACACACCATTCCTACCGAAACTTTACTAAAATTTGTCTGGAAAATCCAAATTTATATAATCTACAGTCTACACAGTCGATTATAAAATAATATTAAGGCGGTTGGAAGCAGCATATTTATTTCACGTTGTAGACTTAAAAACCTGACAAGATTACGCATAGTTACTTAAAATCATCATAATTAAATTCTGTAAAAAGATCAACCTTTTTTCTAGGTTAATGTGGAAATCGATTTTTGATATTTGTTTAAAAATTGTCTTTAAATCTTATTTGAGTTTCTTAATTTTTTCTTAATTTTTAAAAATACTTTAGTCTCTTTTTTAAGAACGTTACACAGTGATTCTAAAATCGACTTCCACAATAACCTAGAAAAAAGGTTGATCGACTTAAATCTTTTTACAAAATTGAAATCCGATCATTTGGAGTTGACGGTTTTTTGTCAGACTTAATTAATTTTCAGAGTTTCTTCGTTGGAACGAAATATTTTATTTCATCAAATGACTTGTGCATGCGCGTGCGAACCATTGTTTCCCCGAAACGTTAAATGCCGGCGCGAAACGCCAGCCGTCTGCGAACCGATAATATTATATAGATCCCTATATATTATATATTTTTTTTTATTTTTATTTTTTTATATCTATATATTATATAGTCTTATTGTAAATTCAAATAAATTGTATTACATGTATTTATAATTTGGTATATTTACTGTAATGAGTTTTTGCACATACTGTACGATTATGCCGCAGTTACCTATGGATAGAGTCAACATTTAGTACTTAATACTTGTAGGAGCCATATCTAAAGTTTAGTTTCAGACGTATCAGTGCATTGTTACTCGATTTTATATGGATTCATTACTTCCAAAATAATCGATTCTAGGTTTGATCGAGGATTACTAATAAGGCCAGGCATTCCCGAAAAAAAATTTTAATAAGACTAAGTACTAACGTATTATAGTTGTATATAATTTGTATACCTTCACAATTATATCGAGATTTTAACGCTGTTTTATTTAAACTTTAGAATTCAGCTAAGCAGTCGAACACCAAAACCCTACAATTATTTCAATCTATTTGCCTCCGTTTAATAACCTCTGCCCCCTTGGTATGTAACAAACAAAAATCTCCACAAAGACCTAAATCTACCAACACTCAACAAACTGGCCTAATCTTATTATATCAAATTCTATTCAAAGCTCCACTCTTATTCCCAGAAGGTTAAGAAGGCAATGGTCTAGGGACCTGCTAAAAGCATAGTAATGTTAACTTTAACTCGTCTGGTGGCAAGCTGAAAGCCTTCCTATTCTAATTCTAAACGTCATCATCATATTATTATCACACTTACTTATTATACCATGTTTGTTGTATAGATTGTAAATATAGTTTTATAATAAAAAAAATAGAATGAAAAAATTACAAATAGTAATTAATAATAAAATACAAATAACTCGAACCTTATAAATGATAACTAGTACTCGGATGTTTATAACGGCATATTTTTTTCGCGTAACCAGCATTATATGACCTAATATGATATAAATTCGATTCATGAAATCTTGATTGCAAATATGCAAACTTATTTTGCTTATTTACATTATTCAGCATATAAGTGCATATACCGATTGTTTCTAGGTTAAATAGCATATATTTTATAAATTATAAGTATAATATTAAAAATTTTCCATATTATTATAAATTATTAATCATTACCGTTAATTGTGTTATTTTCAGTCTACAAAAACTTCTTGTCGGATCGTCAAAGGTTTTTCAAGTTTGAAAATATCAGCAAAATTATTGTTGTAAAGTGTAATCCTGATACTTAAAACGCTTAACCTATGTAAAGTTTAACTTTAATAAATCGAAAACTAATTAATATTTTTTTTCGTATTTATTAGCTGTGTTTTTTATAATTCAGTAATTTCAAATACGCATTCAAGAGTATATACATTTTTTGAATTAATATTCACTATTTTTTTTTGCATATATTTGTCGAAAAAATAAGTATATTTAATACATTTTATGGCATATAATTGCATATTTTAACATTTTATAATGGATATTTTTATGAAATTTTGGTCATTAACATCCGAGCTCTAGTGATACCTAACTTATACTGATTATTATTTTATTCTACTAATCTATTAATCACAAATAACTTGTCATGGATTCATAAAAAACAACAATTATCTACTTATCCCATTAATCTCGAATCATATAATCGGAGGTGTAACTAGGAATTTTTATTCCCGGGGAAAATGTTAAAATTACTCTTCTCGAGAATTTTTTTCTAATAACTTATATACAATCACACTTATTGAGTTTTAACCTAATATCTGTAGGTATTTAACAAAGTTAAAAAAATCAAATTAGTTATTAATAATTACAAAAATTACATCCTCTAAATTTTTAATTAATAATTCGATCTTATTGCATGATATCTACTAGGGTTGCCATACGTCCCGGAAAACCGGGATTGTCACTGGTTTTGGACTTCGTGTCCCGGTGTCCCGAAAAATGTTTTCGGGACGTCCATATGTCCCGGCTTAGACGTCTAAAGGAAATGTAGTATTGTTTATTTTTTTAATTTCGACCAGTTTATTTCAAAATACATTTTTAATCGTAATCGATTAACAATATATAATAAAAACATTATTTGTAATTTACACATATAATATATTTTATTTTACAAAAAGATTTTTAAATATTATATTGCCGGCATAGACGTACGCACGGGGGTAACCGGGTGGGCCGTGGCCCCCCTGTGGACTCTGGATTTTTCTTATTTAGGTGTATATCTATATTATACAAGATGGCGAACATTTTTACATTTAACATAAATAAAGTAAAGCCTGTTTTAATTATATAGTATAGAATTTATATCTGTGAATAAATGTAATAAAGTTATTAGTTATTAATCAGACTAATCAGAACTTGAATATAATATAAAAATTGAAGATGTAATTCATGCATTCAAAAACCTTACTCTCGTTGACAGAAGGATGGAGTTGTAAATAGTATAATAATATGTAAATAAGGATTTCTTAGACATAAATTGTGTAAGTTTAAAGAGTATATATTTTTATATTTGTATTTTGAATAAAATAAATAATTTATAAAATTTAAAATATTTAATTATACTGTATTTAGTACAAGAATCTTTGGTTTACTTTTTTTAAGGGCCTCCCCTGCGGACAAAGTTTGCGCACGCCAATGATTGCCGGCCATTAATGGTCTTCTTCAGTGACATATACATAACTTTTGTATGGGGGGGGGGGTGATGATTTGCAAACAAATCATAATTTTTATTTTATTATTATTTTCTTTTTTTATGTTTTTAACACTCTTACACTAAGAACATTATTTTATAACATTTAAAAAAAAGCCTAGGGGAACTGACCTCTACAACCCCCCTTGTATACGTCACTGGTCCTCCCAATATATTTAAAGTATATTACTCAATAATTTGTTTGTTTTGTCCCGGTTTCGCCTTATAAATTTATGGCAACCCTAATATCTACGTAACTCAAAGGGTATAATAGCTATATAATATATAGTATATATATAAATAAGACTATATGCTATAAGCTCCATTTGTATAATCTTTGATAAATATATATAACTTATGGAAATAAATTCAAATAAATCAGTTGTCATCACTTGTTAAGTATTTTATTTTAAAAAGTATTTTGTTTTGTTTTATATAATAATAAGTGAATTAATACAATAAATAAATTTTAAGTAGGTAGTATACATTTTTACCAACCAAATTTTTAATTTTGTATTAATAGGTCAACTGTTGTTTTATTTTTCATCAAAAATATTAATATTAAAATTATTTTAATCAAGTGAATATTTTTATTATTTTAATTGAGTGAATATAATTATAATATCTCCATTACTAATTTCTCAATTATTCTAATCACTAATTGACAGTATTCACTTTATCAGAAACCACGGGTCAAGTAGCACTGGTCAATGGAAAATGTAGTATTGGTATTGACAGGTTCGAATATGAAAATATTTTTGCACAGTGGGCACCAAATGGAATGCATTTACATTTTTTTTATTTTATCAATGATTAAATAAAAACATAATTCATCGTTTCCTTAAAAATAACAACTGAAAATAAGTAAAATAGGTCTAGTATATTTTAATTCTATTAAAATAATAGATAAAAATTGTCATTATTATATATATATATTTTTTTTACTGATCTTCATTTAAGATTTTATTGTTGTCTGCTAGGACTAGAAGTAGGCTCTAGGAGTAGTTGATATCAGTTGAGGTGTACTGCATAGGTATAAAATTATATGGTGAAATAATCTGAGTAGTATGTATATCAATGTGAAGATAATTGTAAGATCTGTAAATCAGTTGATATTAATCATAAGTGCATAAAAACTCTTAATAGGAATAGCCAATTCATTTAAATAAGCTAAACTATGAACTTAAATATTTATTAAGTTTAAATAATGGTAGTAAAACTAAATATAATGGCTAAAATGTGAGACAATTTATTGAAGAATTTTCTTGTTAAATTACCTGGCTAGTCATTGTGTATAATTTTATTTCAAGTTTTTTGATTATTGAAAAAATAAATTTTGTTTAAAAAAAATATTTAAAAAATTAAACAGTTATACAAATAACAATAGGCACATCGTTACCAAAAAAAAAGTTAACTATTTAATTGAATAAGCCTAATTTTATTAAGAAACTTAATAGGGTATGGATAAATTAGGTCAGGTAATGAAAATTCTAATAACACTGATAAATATTTTTATCTGTAAAGCTAAATAATACTTTGCTTTATTTTTCACTACTTTTATGAAAAAAATAAAAATATTAAAAAAGTTCATTTTGGGTCCAGATTGTCAACATAATACTTAAAAATGTCTTTATCACTATGAAATAAAAATAAAAAAATATAACAATATATAACATATATAAAATATAATTATAAACACAAATAAATGTAAAGAAACATGAAATGTAATAAAACTGATCATTTTTATGATTAACTTTCAAATATAAAATAATATAAAAAAAACTAGATTAAAAAGGGAACAGAAATATTATAAAATAATAATAATAATAATTAAACCAAATGTATTTTAAGCAATTTTAAGAGTTTAATTAACTTTATTATTATTTTCAAAACTTAGTTTTATCAATAAGTTTACTGTATTACTATTATCAAATTAATTTTGATTTTTTTATCTTCTTTCTATGTTTTGAATATTCACTTTGGCTATTTAAATTTTTACATCTTTGAATATGTTGAAAATAATTAATTGGTATGAAACAATTTACCACCTTAAGTTAATGATTTATTTCTTTGACATCGTCAATTTTTTTTTATGTCGAAATCTATCATTACCTTTACCATCAATTGGTTTAAAAGTAGACTCATTCTTAATTGACACAACATGTAAGTTTTCTGAGGAACTATATTGTTTTTCAAACTTTTTTGGATCAATGGAATTTAAATCATTCTCAGATATGCCTAATTGAAGAGACCTGGAGCTATTTCTAATTTCTGTACTTTTATGAGCTGGTGGTTCTTTATTATAAACAGAATTTTTTTTAGTTTTATCGATATTTTTTGAAGATAAATATACTTGTTGTTTTTGCCAATTTTTACTTCTGTTATAAAATAAATTTTTTTTGTCATATTTGTTTTTATCCTCAACATGTTGATTTTCATACAATTGAACCTTTAGCATTATATTAAAATTATCAAGTGTGCCTTTGACAATTTCTTTTTCTTCTTTTGTCCAATCATGAAGTCTAATTAAATTATTCACTCTCAATGATAAAGCATTTAGAAATTGTTTAGTTTTGAATAATTCATTTATTTTAAACATTGGGTAGGCAGTCTGCAATTAAAATATAATTATTATTAAGATAATATTCCAAAAAAATTAAAAACATTTGGAGATTATTCTTATCTTGATCACCAAATTCAAATTCAATAGGAACATTTGAAATAAATTTAAATAAAATATAAAAATATTTATAATGAACTAATTTGGAAATGATTTACAAAATATGTTGCTAATTGTTATGCTCCTTAGAAAAGATTTTGAAAGTTAAACATTAAATAGAATGTTGTGTTATTAGTTCTAACAAAAAAAAAAAAAAATATTGAAATCTGATCACTCTATAAGCCGTGAGTTTTTCCTGTAAAGCATGTTTTACAGCGAAAAAACAGGTTGTTAAAATCAGGTAATTATTAAATTAATATTAAAGTAAACTAGATCAAAGATTAAGGTTAGCCTTTGGCTAAACTTTCTAGTAAATTAATATTTTATTAAAATTGTCATTAAATGACAATTTTTTTATTATTCTAAAATTCGGGAAAAATTAAAAATTAAATGAAAATATATAAATAAATAAACAAATAGTTTATACATAGAAATAATAATTAAATAGTTTTAAATTTTTTTTTTTATTATGAATGAAAATATTAGCTATGGATTCTAAGTGAAATGAAGAAATGAGAAATACATGATATATGTACATAATATACATAATATACATATATGTATATTGTTTTATCATGATTATCTGGGTATACAATTTTGACCAGGATTGCTCAGATTGTCACAAGCAAGAGTGGTTAACAGTAACAGATTTAAAGGAAGAGACAGGGGACTCATTAATCTAGAACAGTGATTCCCAACGTGGGTGCTACCGCCCCCTTGTGGGCTTTTTTTTATTTTGAAGGAGGTGTTTTTAACTGATTGCGATGAAATGTAAAACTGCGTAGAATAAAAACTAATTTAAAATACCAAATGAAATATATAGAATTATGTAGGTATAATATTTTTAGATACTTATATAACATCTAAATAATTATTTTATTGGACTATAGTTTTTAGGTATTAGGTAGGTGACATTATTATTGTCTTATGGAGCTTATCATATCCGTCAACATACCTGATTAAAAAAGAGTTTAATGCGGTTCAACAAACTTTTTGATCAAATCAAGAAACAAATTAGAAATATGTGAAAGAGGAGATTTAGGACTAATGTTGACTTCTATTGAGCCAGATATAATTTCGTTGGCGGGAAATCGTCAACCTCAGGACAGTTGTTAGTCATATAAGTATTTTTTGTGTTATTATTTTATACTAGCAATTTCAAAATCAAATTATATAATTCATATTATTAGCAAATATTTAAATATGAAATGAACTAAAATTTAGCGTTAAAATGTTAAATGATATTTTTCTTTAATTAAATAGCTCATTAAAAAATAAAATATTAATCTTTAGAAAATATTGATTGGGAGGGGGTGGTATGATCAATTTTGTACTAGGCGCTGCATGAGTATTTCACATAGCATTTCATTAGACATTAGACTATATCAGTGGTTCCTAACCAGTGCCGCAAAAAATCTATAAATTGTTTTATAAGTATGTATTTACCAGTATAATATCGATATTCGATGAAAACTGATCAAACTAATCGTAGATAAATATAATATTATTAATTGTAAGTATGCATGTCGCAGCCTTTTCGATCGATTGATTGTATTAATATATTTCACAATAAATAACCCTCTAATAGAGTAGACTGTAAATAGTGTACATATATATAATATGGTTCACATAATATATGGATTGGTGTGCCACAAAAATTTTGTTGAAGATAAGTGTACATTTTATAGATATTTCATTAAAAAAAAAAAACGTATGAAAATAAAATTAATAAATTATTTTTACTTACTATTAAATAATTTTTTTTTAATGTATCATCAATGTCTTGCTCCAAATACAATTTTAGATAATGCATCAATTCTTTTGGGTTATTTTTATAATAATAATAAATTAATATTTGTGATAAAACAATAAGCCTTCTTTGTGGACTAGGAAAAACATTATAAATCATATTTAATGTTTTCACAATTGGAAATTCATTGACAGGTTGCAATAAGCAATCAACTTTTAATAACTGCAATGCACTTCCAAAATTACCAGCAGCCATTCCGCGTGACAAAAATATTTTGGCTTTTTCATAATCCTAAACAAAATCAAATTGTCCAATTTTTGTCCAATAGTAATAAATCAATAATGTTCTTACCTTTTCATATTTTAAATAATACTTTCCTAAAATAAAATCCACTTGGCCATTTTGAACATGGGTAAGTTTTTGAATAATCTGATCAATTACAGTTTTTGAATGGAACTGTTTTGGAATATTAACATATATTTGTAAACAAGACTCAAGTACTTCTATGTTATCATTGGTTAGCTCAATTATTTTTCTGTCAAATACAAAATTGTTAATAATAAAATAACAATGTTTATTTATTTATAACATAATTGTATTGATTCTCACTCTAAAATATCTGATGAAAGCTTATAATATTTATTAGATTCATTAAATTTTTTGTTTAATTTATTATGAAATGCTACTTCCGTGAAAATTTTAGAAGCATAAATTAAATGCTGACAATTTGTTTTTGATGTAAATAAAATTTCTGCAGCATCCATTTCATCTTTTTCGGGCATTTTATTTAAGGAATCATTATACCGTCTAACTCGACCTTTTGCTTTTAACCAAATGATTATCCACTCAGGTTCTGTAGAATGAAGGTTGCGTGCTTGCTCAGAAAATTTTAAAGCAATTTCATTTCCCTTTGGTGCATATTCCATAAATACTTTTGCTTTAACTGCACATATTGCAGCCTTCTCAGCACGATTTAAATTATTCATTAATTTTATATTTTTTACTATCTAAAAGAAAACCAAAAATTAAGTTTGATTAAATAAAAAAGCCTCGATTACTAATGTCATTGAATAACATGATAATTTATTTTTAAAAATAATGTTGCTAGATCTTTAAAAATATCTTATCAAGAAAATTTTAAACAATAATCAATTCAAGTAAAGTAATTATGTAACATATATTTGAAATAGAGTGTAACAAAATATTTTATAAATATTCCATCTTATTATTATTATCATACAAATAAGTAACTGCTTCAAGGTTGAATTTGCTATATTTTATATACATGAATATAATACTTGCTCATGGATATGGAATCATCCTTGAAGAGTCCATGATTTTTTACAAATTAATTATAAAATAAAAAATTAGCTTTAATTAGGGAGATATAATAGATTTTAAATTTAAGCCATAGGGATTAAATTCTATTAAGTTTGAAGTATCATAATACAAATTATTTATCTATAAAGTATTAATAATTATAAAATAATAAGAAAAAGAAATTGGTGAAGATGTTTACAAATTTAAAAAGAATCTTAAATCATTATATTCAAAGAATAAAAATTCTAAGAGATGTAATAGACTCTTAGTAGAACTTTGTTAAAAAAATAATAAGTTAGTTTTATATTTCTATTAGATTACTATTTGCTTATTAAAACAGCCTAGTATATGTTTGGTGCGAAAAAAATTAATTAATACATCATCATTTATTTTTATAAATTAGTTAAATAAAATATTTAATCAAAATAACCTTATCAGATTCTTGATTCAATGTAATAGCAATATAAGCATTGGTAGCCCGAGCTATATGATTGTAAGCATCTGAATACTGTTCATTTGACTCATCAAATATACATGTCTCCAAATATTTAACAACATTCTCGATTTCCAACAGTGATTCCTCATAACTTTTATTTAAGTATAATTCATAACAAATGATTAGTTGTAAATAGAATCTAAAATATAAAAAATATATATGGTATATGTAATTAAACACATGAAAAACTGCAGCAGTTTCTAACTTGTGTTACACAAAGAATTTTTTTTTTAAAGAAATAATTTCTTTTATTATTATTACAATTTAATATTATTTGATTTATTTGATATTAGCTGATTTTATAAATATGAAGGTTTATGAGAAACTACCAGATCTACAATTATACTGAAATACCCCTAATAAATACCTGGATTAAAACCCTATTAAAGTTTCCAAGCCAAACTTAAAGACTCAGACGGAGACCAACATTACCAATTATGAAGCTAAACTCGAAATTATAATATATTATTATTATTTTTATTATTATAATTTATACACCCCTTGTCACCTTTGCACATATAAGATCGTAATTAGAAACCTACACTTGTCCACCTTAAGTAATGATATTATTAATGCTTTAACTGAGTTAGGACACTCAGTTAAAATGTAGACCTAACAGCTAGCCCAAAGCTACTTAAAAATCTAGGGTTGGGTAAATACATACTCCCCCACAATGAACATCCCATAAATATTAATGCATTATTAAAAAGAATTAAAGACTAGTATTTGACATTAATACATTAAGTATAATAATCACTACTGATTTTAAAATAGCTATGATTAATCAAATATATTATGTTATTGAAGATGTAACTATGGTCCAATTATTTTTAGTTATTTTTTAATTTAACCCAGTCATTATTAATGTTTTGGCTTTTTTACCTGCAAATTATTTAACAGTACATGAATAACCAAATTATACATAAATATAGGTAGGTTTATGGATATAAACATTTATGTATAGTGTGTATTTATATTAAGATGTTATCCTACTCCATACAAATGCTGGGAAATTTTGACCATCCACTAAGATTGAATGGAAAATTTATTTAGATAGATATTACGAGCTTCCCAGTAAATTATAGTTCAATTTTCGTTATCATATTTTGATAATCTACCTAGTACATAGTTACCTTTTTGAATTGAATACATTTTCTTTGTCTACAATCATTTTGCATTTATCCTGAATCTTATCAATGAGATTCAACATAAGATTTTGATTAGTACCAGTTAGTTTTTTAACTTCCCAAGAAAAGATGCTCTCATACAAATTTTCAATTTGGAGTAGCTTAGCCCGTACGTTATTATCCAATTCATGTTCTTTCGAATGTTTTCCAACATCTGTATTACCATTGCTAGCAGACAAGGAGGCCATTGTGTTTGATAGACTATCTATACATTCTGCCATTTTTCAACTACTATTGACCTCAGACACCAAGCAATATCCTGCAATAATAATAATACATACAGTAAGTCTTACACTATGCATTAACAATATTAAATATAAGTGCACAGGTTCACTCGACTAGAGATGAAATAGGCGGAGAGATTATCGTTCCTAAAGGAAACAATGTAGGCCAACATTACTTGTAAGTTGTAATGTAAGTAAATATTGAATGTGTAAAATAATTATAGCGTAAGTAATTTACTTGATTATCACTAGACGGAAGACAAACTAGGGTCCAGACTACAGAGGTCCTAATTCTGCAACGGTCTGAAAACACATAGATAAGTATTTACTGAAAACGATTGAACGAGTGTACATAGATTAACGTCAGTTATAGTCGTCGGTAAAGATGTTAAGTTCGTGAACGAATAATTCATTTGAACTATTCTGAACTGTTTCAGTACATTAGTGTTGCCAGTATTTCAAAAGGAGATGGTCGTATAGGAGTTTCAAAATGATCGTACTTTCAACGAAAAAATCGTATAAAAAATTTGGCTCAGACCTACCAAGATAGCGGTCCTCGCTATCAAATCGTGATAATAAGAAAAACTCTAAGATAACCCTTATCTATATTTCAATTTTTATTACAAAATAAGTAAATAACATATCGCTTCTCCGGTGGAACAACGACATAAGTGCAAATTTTTGACTTTTAGACATAAGTACGACAACAGTACAATAACATTTCATTTTATCGAATGGAACAATGACATAAGTATAATACCTGTTATTGACCGCTAGAGAACAGTTTCGTCATTGTTGAAAATACCGGTTTTTAATCACATGTCCAAGGGAACAATTACGTTTTCTGAAGAACAATTACATTTTCACTTACGCCGTTGTTCCACCGGAGAAGCGATATTCAATAAGAACATCGAACAAGACAAGTGAACAACGTAATTATTTTCAAATAAAATACAAAATTATATTATCAAAATTAATTATAAATACAAAACAAAAAAATTAAACAAAATAAACATTGGTAACTTCAAACGCAAATTAATAATATAAATAAACAAATGAAATATTAACAACGTTTAAATATCCTTAACCGTAGATATAATTATATATAAAACCGGTCGATTACTTTGGTACAATTTATTTAGATTTAAAAATGTTGGTAAGACCCACTGTAGAAATTTCAAATAAATAAAGATAGAAGGATCATGTAAGGATTTAAAAATGTCTTCAGCAGATTTTAACCTATCTAATTGCCAGTTAGTAGAAAATTAAAGTTAAAAAATATTTATAAATAGGTACATTGGTATTTTCATTGTTTACTTTTAAATTATTCTATAAAGATCATATATTTCCCTCTCTAATCGCTGATAACTTACTATACTTTATAAATTCGTAGAATAAAAATATTAAAAATATCTATAAATAGGTACAAAAAAAAAACTTGAATTATTCCATAAAGATCGTATATTTCCTACTCCATCAATGGTTCTGGTGAGGGATCGTATAGAGGCTCAAAAGATCGTATTTCCCCATCAAGATCGTACCATCTGGCAACACTGCAGTACATGTAACTTAACAGTTCACAGTTCGAAAAACATTGGTAGCATTATAGAAATTAAATAGTTCGCGAACTTCTTTAAAAATTCTCTGCGATTCGTTGTTCGAAATCTGGTAAATTTAAACAGCTATTTACAGTTAGATAACAATTACTTAATTGCTCATAAATAGTGTGAATTACTACTGAACTGTGTATTGCTTAGTATTCTTTTCTATGGTATTGCTGTACTAATAGTGATAAAACGAATAGTTCATTGCCAAACAATATCAGTATGATCAATAAAATTAGTGAACTACTTGAATTTAAGAATAGTTCATTTGAACTATTCACAGAAATGAACTAAACTTTCCACCTCTAGTCGTCAGTACTAGTAATGGGAATAATGATTTCAATAATCGAAAACAAACTAATCGAATGATTAGTAAATTAAATCAAAATTATCGAATAATCAGAATTTAAAGAATCATTTAATGATTCATGATAGAACCAGACTGGTAGGGACGGGTACAGTTCTCCCGATTTTTGATAACAGCGAACATGATAAGAAAAAAAAGTAATGCCAACCTCCAAAGTTATTTTCGGTCTCCACTGAATCTGGTATTTATATATTAATATTTGATATTATTCCTTTTTTTAATAATATTTGCTTGTTCTTCTATTATTTAGTAATACTTTATTTTATTGGTGTTAGTTTTGTTTTTATATCTTATTATTTACTGTTTATATTATTATTTTATATATATAGTATGTACAGCATGGGTACCCATTCTTCTTTTGTTACTTTTCTCTTATCTATTCTCTTTCCTTTATTGGAATTGTTGGTATACGTAATATCATTATTGCTATTACTATTTGAACTTGTGTTTATTATTTTTAGCAATTAAGTTTATATCTATTGCCCATGTCCTCTCTTTCCGTGCGTCTACTACCCGTCAACGTACTGTACGGGATAGATCGTAATCATTATTCATTTTTTGTCTTTGTCGATGAGAAGGATTGATCAATCATAAAATTCTTTATTTTTGTCTGATGTATTAAAAATGTACATACAATTTTAATTTTAATAAATAATTTTTTCTTTCAAAATTGTTTAAGTAAACCACCAAACAATGTCTAGCTAGTGGAAATTATTAAGATCTTAGATACCCCTTAGTAATTGACAGACATATGTAAAAAATAGCCATGTTGATTTCATGTAGTTCACAGTTTCACAGTTGCTGAATCAAAATATCAAAATCACCAATTTTTAAATCACGAAATAGGTGATATTGTCGCGTCCTGCGTAGTCACACAAGAACGCTTACATAATTAGGGAGTTCCTGTGAAAACATCCATGGATGATTACACATATTCTATTTACAATTATTTAGTTAATCAAAACTACACATATTCTATCACAATTACTTGGCTAATCAAAACTACACATATTCTATTACAATTATTTAGCTAATCAAAACCACAACCGTAGACAAGTTAGATTATTAAATTCACGTGGTTATTGGACAGGAAATTAAAATAAGTAATAAAAACAATAGTGACCACATCCTGGATCTTTGCGACATTAAATATGAGCCGGTCGAGAGACAGTTCACAAATACAGAATTCATAGGAAATTATCATATTTTCATTATCATTTTTCATATACAAACACACTTACGTATATCAAATATAAAAGGGACCCGAAAACAAGGGCAAATCAGACGAATTTTGGCTATGCGGCAATGAGCGAATCTAGGACGTTCCCCCCCCCCGTGCCTTCCCCCCACGATAAAATGGACGTTTCGCCCCCAAACAGGACAATTTCCCCTCGGACAAAAAATAAAAATATTAATAATATATAAAACAATAATATATGTTATTATATTATGTGGTATACAATAAAATTCTTAACTTTTTCACAAACTTATTCTAGTAAGATAGCTCACGGAAATTAAAAAAATTAAAATATTATCATTTAAAAAACTTTCACATAATTGTTTTAACCTATCATCTGTTCTTAAATTATCACGAAAAGCTCCTGCTCTATAATTTAATATTTTTACTAATGCACTTGAGTTGCTCATCTGTAGAGCTTCAATAAAAAGCCAAATATTAGGATGATTAATTCTCACTAGTGTTGTAAATTTATTATTCCACCCTTCCGAAATATTGTTTGTTCTACCTATACCAGCTTTAGTTAAGTCAAACACGTTCCATATAGAAGGCGGAAATAACGGTGGTTTTCTTGTATGTATTTTAAGTCTATGTTTTTTTTATTTCTATAACGACCGTTAACATAAGTCGTATCAAAGTACGTAAGAATTTGATCAGCATCTTGGTTATGAAATTTTTTTACTAATTTTTAATAAAATTTCCATACCTAAAACACAACCACAATCTACATTTAACTATTTGTGAACAAAAAAAGTTATATTACTCATAGGTATACATACCTTTTTTGACATAATTGACTGGTAAAAATGCAAGACCAGTTATCATTGCAATATCTTGTTGAAATTGTTTGTCTTCTTTATATTTTTTGACTAGCCCATACTCTTGGATTTTTCGCCATACTGATTGACACAGGTGAAAATAGCAACAGTGAATTTTTACTTTTGGTAGTACTTTTTCAATTGCAAGAATGACAGCTTTTTCAAAGTCTATTGTTATTTGTACCACTTCACGTTTTGGACATTTTTCACAAATAACAGAAAGCATTTCGGTATAAGTTAGTTTTGTTTTATTTTGAAGAAGTATATATTCCAAAGGAATTGTTGTTGAGCCCATTTTACCATGAATAATATAAACTTGATTAAAGCCTGTAGGCGCAGTTGAAAATGTTCCATCCATGTACCAATATGTTGACGTTTTTAATATTTGCAAACTTTCAGTAGATGAAAAAATTATAATTCTATTTTCATTATTTTCATTGTCGTATAATAAAAATGGCTGAGGATTTTCACCTCCTGTTGTTGCCCATATACTAGTAACTTTCAACTCATTTACTGGTACTAAGGGTGGATAAGATGCATTTTTAACTCTTCTTAAACTTCTTTTTACGCTGTTTTCTGCAGGCATTAACAATTTTGCTTCGTTAGATAAATTTATTATGGCTTTGGAAAATATAATAGAAGGGGGTTCAGAATTATTTTTTGCATTATTTTTCATTGATGATAATGATTTTATTACCTCTACTTCAACTGGGCAGACATTATGATTATGGTCAGTTTTAGAAACAATAACTTTAATGTTGACATCAGTTGTAATACTTCCTTGACAATTATTTTCATTGTTTTTAGATTTTTTTACATACATTTACATCCGATGGACATGTTTTTTTTTTGTGTACTATGTGGTCATTTTTTTTTTTATATAAATGCATATTATTATGCATATTTTAATGATTTTAGAAGCATATTTACATGCATATTTGTGTATTTTTTAGAGCTATAAGTCCCTAAGCCTAGCCATTAGTATTTAATAACAATTCTAATTCACAGATTTTTAAGTATTACAAAATAATCAAAAAATGTAATTTTTATTATAACTGTTCAAAAATTATAGATCAAATGAAAAAGTTTCAAGTGTATTGAAATCTCTATTCAATAATTGACAATTGAAAGTCCCAATTGATCTTGCATTAGTTAAAAAAGTCAGTTTATTAGCTCAATAAAGATTAAATTATTTAATTTGTTCAAAAGCTACAGAAAAACAAATATAAAAAATAATGGCATTGAGAATAGCTTCTTAATGTTTAATTTTTTTTTAATCATTCCTACAAGTTATTGTATTTGCTTGCTCAAAATAATTTGAAAAAATACTAAGAACCATTATTGGACAGAAATGTATTTCCAGCTTAGGAATATATATAGGTGTACGTGCAAGTGCGGAAAGTAATATGCCGCTTACCTCGGCACCTAAAGTAATAGAGTGAACTGTAATTTTTATGGAATACCAGAAATTGGAATTTACCTATATATTAATTGCCCCAGACGAGGGAGAGATCGCCTACGCTTGTCTGGAATTAAATATGGTATAAGAATAAGGAAGTGGAGAACAATTTTATGTGATGACAAAGATAATAATGAAAACTTATATTAAATTATGAAATATGTATACTACAGTAGGTCGAAAACCACTAATTTTATGATATAATAATAATAATAATGACTATCAAACAATAATAATAATATGTCGATGCGTTTTATAATTGATTATAATAATGTGTAAGGTACAAGGTGTGTGCAAATAATATAATAAATGTAAAAATGTGTGTAGTAACTGTGAGTAAATGTGAATAATATAATAAGTGTAAAAATATGTATGGTAACTGTGAGTAAATGTAAATATGTGCCTGTTAGTCACAAAATAAATTAGATGACTACTAATTAATAATTATAATAATAAAGACAAAAATTAATTATATAAAACTCACAGTTCGAACAGAATAAGGTGTACACCTGGCCAGCTGCAACCAAGACCTATATAATAAAACAAATCACACCCACAAACGACAATAATAATAATATAAAATACAATTCATTCAAAATAAATAAATAGTTAAAGTTAATACATTTGATTCACTTGCGCGTGAAAAAATATTGCATAAAGCATAAAGCAACGACAAAATTTTTATCTTGGTAACGTCTCCTCGATCTCGCTGCCAAACCTCAACAACCACCCGTAGGCACGTAAAATATTGATAAATTAATTATAATAATAGCTGTTAATTAGATGAATCTGGAAGGAGGACATGATGACAACGCTTATCGTGGTCGTGCACATCGACATTGCGTAAAATAGACGTCCGGCCGGTGAACAATAATAAATTTACCTAAATTATTATTTATTAGGCCGCTAAAATATGTATTGAAAAAGAAGAAGTAAGCAAAGATTAAGTCATTAATTTGTTTATTATACTAATAAAACTCACTAAATCGAGTTAAAATAAATTAGTTAAATGTAGAGATAACTGAAGTTTTCTAAACTTTTGACGTACATTTTTTTTAAATTATTTATTTTTGTTCATAAAAAATTCAAAAATGTTTGTATTATGTTATTTGTTATTGCTTATATTGATAAGTAAAATTTATTTTTCTAATTAAATATTTAAAATTAATAAAACAATAGAATCATATACATACTTGAACATTATTATATTAAATATTACATCATTTTAAGCTCTATAGTATAAAAACCATATATGCCTCTTTTATAAGATTATGAAAAATATTATAAGAATAGTCTTAAATTAATTGAAATCTAATGGTTCAGAGCTTTATAGTATCATTTAGCATCAGTCCACCATTAAAAATATTAATTTATTTTAAATATAAAAAAAAAAAAAACAATTTTTTGACAATTTTCAAAAAATGCATAATAATAATGAAAAAAAAGATACTATTTTAATAATAATTATTATAAAAACTTAAAAATGTACATTTTTTAATTATTATAAATGTGTAAATGATTTGACTTTAATACAACAATAATTCATCACAAATTTAATATTACATTAATTAACTTAAAGAACCACAATTAATGTTGAAATAACTACCTGTCGACACATAGGACACAAAGCTTGATCTCGTCTAAGAACATTCCAACAAGTCTCACAAATACATTGATGATTACATGGTCACAAAACAACTGATGCTGTATCAACTTCTAAACAAACCACACAGGTCAAAGTTTTTTCAGTGTTTTCTTCAGCTAAAATAATAAATAAATTAATACTAATATTAATAATTGAAAATACTAATTCAAGAAGCTAATAAGTTAGAAAATAATATTATATAAATATTAATTATGAGCTTATAAGTATATAGAATTTAGTAATATTAGAAGAGATACCCACTGAGAGTTGTTCTTATTTATAAAAACAAGTAGGTATCTAATAATTATAACATATAATATATGAACTAATAATTACTTCTTTTTGGATTACAAGTTGCATCAAACTTTGAAACAATATTATCTAAAGTTTTTCTATCGTTTGAATCCCAATGTGGATATATTTTTAAATTTTCAATTTCAAATGAAAGAACTCTCAAAAATTTTTTTGGATTAAAATGTGTTTTTAAATCATAAAGAGGAAATATTGCCTGAAAAAAATAAAATAAGCTTGTGTTAATTCAAAAATATTATATTTACAGTTTTTGCTACACATATTATTACCAAACAACAAAAATAATAGTATTTTGTTTTATTAAGCACATGATTTAAGTGCATTACCCAAAATGATTCCAAAATCAACAATAACAAAAAATACTTACAAACAACATAATTATTAAATTAAAATATAATTATTTATATTTAATAATATGTTATAATTTTTACATTAACTGTTATTTATTTAAATTAAAAATATGTATACTTATCTATTTATATTTAAATAGATAAATATATATAATTAAATAAATTATTAATGATTGAATATTTAAATGATGTTGATTACATTTATATGATGTTTTTTTTGTACATAATCAATATCAATATTTAAATAAGCATCTAAATAGTAGAGTAATTGTTTTGGGCTTTTTTCAATATAAATATAATACAACAGTATTTGAGATATTATAATAAGTCTGAATTTAGGGCTTTTGTATTTTTCATACAAAGAATCCAAGTACTGAACCACAGGAAAATCTTCAACCGGTTTTAGTAAACATTCAACTTTAAATAATTGTAGTGAACTTGAAAATGATCCATTTTTAGAAGCTTTTTCCAAATAAATTTTTGCTTTATTGTTATTCTATAAAATTAATAAATATTAACATATTTGATATTAATAACAAGAAAATATCAATTTTAATATAAATAAGTTAATAATTAATCGCTTAATCAACTTTAGTTAAAAACATAGTTACAAGATTTAATTTAATTTTGAATCAAGTATTTTTAACTAATTTATGAACAATTTAAATTAGTTAATATTACCAACTTTACAACTGTACCAAAAAGTTTATCAATACATATATTAACAAAATAGATTTTAAATGTTAAAATGATTAGTTCAACAAACTTTTTCAATTTTTTGATAATATCTTCCCAGAGTTGTATCAACTTTATTTATATTTTGTGTTTGGCTTAACTTAGAAACAATAAATGTAAGTACATTCAGATTATTCTGTATAAGAAACCAAGGAAGATCCATGTATACTAATAGACAATGGTACAATAGTCTCAAATTATTTGTATCCAATTTATAAGCTTTCCTGAAAATATAATTAAAACTGTTATAATTAACTATCAAGTATACAACTATATAAAATGTAATCACTTATGTTAAATGAAATCATAAAATTAAATAACTAATCTTGATTACTTTATTTAACTAAATTATGACAAGTTAATTACAATGTTAAATCAGCTGATAATTTGTAATATTTATTAGAGTCTCTATAATTTTCTGGAGTACCACTTTTTTTAAGTATAAAACCAGTTTCACAGAAAACTTGTGATGCACATAACAAAAGTTCTGGATTGTCTTCACAGGAACTTAATTTTTTTGCTCCTTCTAATTCATCTCTAGATGGTAGAGTAAATTTATTATAAAATCTTCTTTTTCGCCCTTTGGCTTTCAGCCAAATAGTTATCCAATATAATTCCGCATCATTAAAGTTTCGAGTAGATTCAGCAAATTCCAAAGCAATTATATTACCTTCTGGTGGATATTCCAAAAATATTTTAGATTTTATTGCATATATTGCAGCTTTTTCAACTCTATTAAAACTAAAAGATGGTTTAATATTTTGAAGACCCTAAAAAGAAAATAAACAATAAATCAATATTTTTTCTATAATACATTATTATATTTTATACTTTATTTATCTAAATAAAATACATATTTTGTATCAACAATTGAATTATTTATATACCAAGATTAATAAAATAAAGCAATCATAATTCATATAGAATTTTTTTTTAGATTAAATTTTAAATTAATAAAGCAAAAAACTAATAAATATTATTTAGTTATACAGTTAAATAACTAAATAGATCATTAATTCATAAATTTTAATTTATATATTTTATAATTTAATATATTAAAATAGTAAAATTCTATGACTAATAATAAGAAATCCAGATATTTAAAAAATAAAAATTTAATAAAACTACAAATAATAATAAATTTGTATAATAATTTGTGATTATAAATAAACCTATTACCATTGATTAAATATATATATATATATATATAATAACCTAATAAAATAAAGCTTAATATTTTATTCTATTATAATTTAATAACATTGAAAATATTTTTGCATGGGTACTGTGTAGGTATTTTAATTTTGGCAAGTTATAAAATTAATCACAGAGTTGAACCTCTTTTATACCAATTATATTCATCTAATGATTACCTGTTCAATATTGTCATCCAAAATAAAGGCTTTTATGTATACTTTAGTAGCATATACCACATGATAACAAGCATCCGAGATAGGTTGAAAAAATGTATCCATTTTAGTATGATTAAGAGTTAGAATTAAATTGTTAATAAATGTTAAAGCTTTAGAGAATTCACCATTTAAAAATATTTCAAAACAGCTAATCAAACCTAAATACAATCTAAAAATAAAGTTATTAAATTATTAAATTATAATTAACATTAAATACCACAAAGAAGTTTGAAATTAAAATCACCTATTGAAATCAAAAGAATTACTTTCAAATAAAATATCTTGTTTTTGTGTTACTTTTTCCAAAACATCCATCATTTTATTTCTACTTTTTTCTGTTTTCTCATAAATTTCCCAAGAAAATATACTCTCATAATTATTTTTGATGTTTGACATTATACTTTGAAGTTTTAATTCTGGCAGACAATTTAAATTCAATTTTTGTAAACAGTTTGACAATTCACTAGAAGATGACATAACCAAATGTTTGCCATTACCACTGTTCATCACAAATATTTTACAACTGAAATGTTAAAAAAATTTGTAATTGTTAAATAAAACTCATGAACACCGTTCATAATAAATCATATATGAACAAACCAAGGCAGTGTATGAACGTATCATGTAATCACTGGATCATATACTTACATAAATAAAATAATGATATAGCTATATTTAATTATAAAATATTTACATAATCATGCAACCTTATTCATTGTAACAAATATTTGAATTTAATGTATATATTTATCAAATAGTATTTATGGACATGAAATTACTTGATTAACAACAAAATATGTATTATGTAAGCAACACAGACATATGTAACATATTATATGTATATATATATATGTGTGGTGCACGACAGTAGTAACACGTTTGATAGCAGTGTCACCGAAACTTATAATTTATATGGTTATTACCCGATGTACTTACATTGCGAGTTATTGGGCCTGTGCATTTGTCACAGACGTCTGTATTATAATAGGTACACTCTTTTTAGTAAACGAACGCACCGGACGATGGACGAATTCTGGTTCGTATGAGCAAGCATTTCCCTCCGCATACCATTGCCATCGGTGCTATTATGATTATGTGTACACAATAATAATAATTATGGTAACGACCGATAACAGCCGAGGGTTGACAGCAAATCATTGAACGTATGGTTATGGCCGGTCCGATAATTATCCAGCTATCATATGCGTAGTGCGTTATTGTTCGTAAAAGAGTTTCGGTGATGTACTCGTGTGGAGCAATGAACACTTGACCAACCAAAACGACTACCAGATGGGTAAAATTTAATACAGTAACGATGTATGCGAATAATAATAAAAAATTGTAATATATCATGCCGGCTGTACATGGTCGCTGAGACATCGCGAGAGTGAACTGGACGCGCTCGGTCAGAAGGCGGTTTTTTGTGCTAGAGTCAAAGGAGACGAGGCCAGTAGTGCTCGTAACCCGAGAATGTACTGCGTGCACTTGCGCTTTCTCGTGTAGCCTAAATTCTCGCCGAGGGTCTCACCGAGGCCGTTTCGACAAGGGATGTCATACGTCCCAGAAAACCGGGATTGTCAGATGCGGACTGAGAGTACTTCGGCCCGGATGAAGAAGATTTGAGCGGCCCACATTTAATTTTGTATGATCAACAATGTCTATATTTAGATATTACTGAGTGTTACGTGCCAACCGTTTGATCCGTTAACTCAGTTACAACGTCTCAGTCAACGCTTGTGTGGAAGTGTAGTCAGGAATAATTAAGACTTCTTTTTAAAATAATTAAATTTATTTAACTTATAAAATAATTATTCTAACTACAAATTTTGTAAATATTCTAGTGATAGAAATTATTTAAGTCCTAACAATTGTACTTATAAAATAATTGGAAATATTTCTAAGTCCAGACCATAACATACACTGACGTGAAGGTGCTCAGTGCAGCATAGACAAGACTCGT